GAGCTTAGACTAACAAGGCTTGGTGTCATTTGCTAAAAGGTTTCTTGTTTATTTTTTGTTGCTTGGGGTATATTTCATGGTTGATGGAGGCATGTTTATGTTAACCACAAGCAGATCTCTAATTACAAGTTGTATTTCAAAAGGTTTTTGTCCCTAAGTTGTTTGAAAATTGAAGTGGCTTTCCCCCTTCCCTCCACTCCAAAAAGCCGTGAATCATGATTAAGTTCTTTGGCTTCTCTAAAATGTCCATTATATAGATAAAATACATTTTCTATGTCTTAACAGTGACACAGATAGTTGGCAATAAAATTTACCAGACTCAAAAACAAAACCTAATTTAAAACTACTTTCCTTTGCCTTTAATACTTAAATCTGAGAAGAAAGAAAAAAAAGAATTACCTGGAGGAAGCTAAGAAGCTGATTTTAAAAATCCATAAATATTACAAAAAGGTTATTGGTCCCCAGTTCTTTATTATAGAAAATGCATGAGATCTCTCAATATGGTTCCAGAGAGTCTCTTCAGAGTCATGATTAGGATGTGATGTGGCAGGAGATGGCAAAACTGAGAGCCTAGAAGTTGCGAAAACATGGAGGGAATAGATTGGAAAAACACAGACAGGCTTAAAGGGCACCTGTGTGTCCCTAAGAGGCCACATGAAGTAGCAACAGCTGAAGTATCAATGGTGAGAGAGAAGAAGACTAGAATCTGATCAAACCAGAAGGAAAGGAAGTCATAGAAAGCAATGCTGAAGATAATAGATCCCTAAAAGAACCAGATACAAATGGAAGCTGGGATGTGACAGCAAAGTCACAGAAGAGGCCTTGGCATAAGCAAAGGAGATTCATTTGTACCTGAGGGATGACCTTACTTGCGCCCGCGGGAGCACCGTACCTGGGCTGTTTCTTTCTAACAGCATGGCCAGTGGCTAGATCTTGATTCTGAATCCAAGTTATCATGAAGGCCCTCTGGCCTCTTAGGTATGCTGACCTTAGTTGGGAACTTTTGTTTGTCGTTCATTCACTGCCTCTTTTATCTCGCTATGCACTAAATACATGACATTCCCATTTTGATCCTATCCCTGAATTGATACAAGTGTCATCTCTATAGCGTACTTAGTCACTCAGTCTGGAGAAGGCAATGCACCCCACTCCAGTCCTCTTGCCTGGAAAATCCCATGGACGGAGGAGCCTGGTAGGCTGCAGTCCATGGGGTCGCTAGGAGTCGGACAATGACTGAGCGACTTCACTTTCACATTTCACTTTCACGCATTGGAGAAGGAAATGGTAGCCCACTCCAGTGTTCTTGCTGGAGAATCCCAGGGACGGGGGAGCCTGGCGGGCTGTCATCTATGGGGTCGCACAGAGTCGGACACGACTGAAGCGACTTAGCAGCAGCAGCAGTCAGTCAGTCATGTCCGACTCTTTGTAACCCCACAGACTGCAGCCCGCCAGGTTCCTCTGTCCATGAGATTCTCTAGGCAAGAACACTGGAGTGGGTAGTTATTTCCTTCTCCAGGGGATGTTTCCAACCCAGAGATCAAACCCAGGTCTCCTGGATTGCAGGCAGACCGTTCACCATCTGAACCACCAGGGAAGCCCAATCAGTGCATTTATATTTGGATTCCTGACTTTCAATCGACTATATGAGTACATAGTTGTGTATTCAGTCTTCCTAGCTTACCTCTTCCAAGTCAAAGTGTTACTCAGTCTAAGTAAAAACGTACTGCATTCATTCAACCAAAAGCAGACACTGACAGTGAGGTACCGTAGGCCCAGCAGTAAACACAACAGTCTTGCTGAGTTCCTAGAAACCTTGAGTACATTTTATTAGAACATATGAAACAAAACACCATAAAGGGAAAACAGGACACATTTCGAGACCCTAAGATGTGCTGGTCATTTTTGAAATAAAATGCTCAGCTATGGCTGGGCAGATATAAAATTTTACAAACCAAAAAGCAATGTCAATTTCAAGTTGGATTAACAGCAGAGCTCTATCTTGAGTATTCTCCAGGTGGTAGTCTGGAAATAAGATGATGTGTTACAAGAAGGGAGAGAGAAGCTAACAGAATTAATAACTTTCACACTAAAATTTCTGATCAACAAGGGCAACTTCTGCCACTTACAAAGAACTCTTTCATCTAAAGGTGAAAGTTGTCTTCACTCACCACCACCCACACACAAGGCCACCTACGCGCGCACACAGGTATATGTATTCATAAGGACACCAAGAGGTCACAAACACAGCATGATGCTGTGGAAGAGCAAACTGAAGAATGGAAAAGTGTTTGCAATGTGGTTGAAAACCCTGCCAGGGAACAGGAAAGCTATTTCAAATTAATGTCCAGGAACAACCTTAGTGGAAGCGGACATTTCAGTTCAGAACTTAATGCGGAACCTGGTAAAGCATTCCGATCTAACTATCTACTGAAGCATATATTTGTTTGACCTCCTGGAGTTTCCCCCAGCCTGGCTCAGTGCCTAGGCATGAGTACATCCACAGACCAGGGCCAACGTCTCCAGAGCAGAACCTGTGGTCTGCTTAGGGGTCATATGTGGAGAAGCCAGGGCAGGACTGTGCCTTCTGCGTCCACTCTCCCTTCCCTCCAGCATTCAAGTGTATCTGAAGCACTTTCAGAAAAAATGAGACAGTCCCATGGCCCCTGCTTATCTCTCCGGAAGGTAACTCTTGTGTTAATCCTGCTAGATGAAAACCAAAGACACCCTCAGTGGTTGGGCTCTCGTAATCCCAACTTCAGATGCAATTAGTCAACCTATTTCTTCAGCTTTATGAAAACTATGCAGACGTTCCAATTGCTGTAATTGTAGCTTCTCTCTAGAAGACATGCCCCAGAGCTCTTGGGTGACAACTGTCAAGCTCCTTTTGGAGACTTTTCCCATTAGAAGTGCATCACTTGGGAAAGTCTAGAGGACGAAGGATACAGAAGTAGGGAAGGGAAAGAATGGGTGCATGCATGCGTGTCTGCCAATTAACTTCAGTCGTGTCTGACTCTTTGCGACTCTAAGAACTGTAGCCCTCCAGGCTCTTCTGTCTGTGGGATTTCCCAGGCAAGAATACTGGAGTGGGTTGCCATATGCCCTCCTCCGGGGGATCTTCCCGACCCAGCAATCAAACACCCGTCTCCTGCACTGGCAGGGGGATTCTTTACCCTGAGTCACTGGGGTTTCATTTTCACCTGAAACCATTAATTAAGAGTTTCAAAAACACAGCAGAGAGTTTGGGTATATATTAATGGCCCACTGTATTTCCTCAAAAGACATGAATTAAGAATTCTTTTCAAGTCAACATGTGTCACAGCAAAAGACCCCACCTAATGGTGTTAAACATTCTCATGATTGTCCTACTTGTAGCAATATTAAAGAAATTTCCATGTCAAAACCCAGAGTTGTATCAACAGAGTAAAACAAAATACTGTTTGACCAGCTGATGGCAGGTGTCAAAGACTGAAATTCATGCTCCAAAGGTAGATCTCTCCTGATACCTACTGTGGATTTATACGTAAATGAATAGGAAAGATTTTAAAACTGAATTTAGCAACTGGCAAATTTAGCAAACTTTTAAAACTGCAGGTAGAAGTGATTTCACATGGGAGTTACATACAGATTCAATGTACAATTATTGAATGCCTGAACCAAACTGAAAAATATTAAGTAACAGTGTTGCAAAAGCTAAGGTTTCCCTCTGACAAAAACAAAAATGGTGACTCAAAAGACTAAGTTCTCCTAAGTATCAGGTGTTCTTAAACAGTGAGATATGATGCAAAATATATCTTGAGATACAAACATTTATGTGGTTTGGGACACTTACTCTTTGAATCTTAGGCTTATTTTTAAGTACTAATTATATGACACCATCTCTTTAGGAAAGTTGGTTCCTCAAAGCACTGTATCATTTCCATGACACCCAAAACACAGTGAAAAAGGAAAGTTTATGAAAGGAAAGATTTCAAATATCAGAAAAGATGTCCTCCACACTGCATTGTCCAATCATAAAACCTTAAGTGACAATATAGTTTAAGGTGGACTTTACATGGAAATGTCACTTCCATATAATACAATAAAATGATTACATCTCCTTGTGGTTTTCAAATTTACTTCCCCACATACATTATTCCACCAGACCCTCACAATAACCCTATGTGATGCACACGGAGATGATGTCCTCATTTTAACATTGAAGAAACTGAGGTTTGGGGAAAGTTATAGGAGGGCCCAGCAATTAATAAAGGCCATGAAAGCAAGAACCCAGGATTCTGGGTCCAGTTCTTCCTGCCACAGAAGTGGAAGGGAAAACCACCCCCACATTTCCTGAAATTGATTGTGGATCCTGAAACTGTACCAACGAAATGGCAGAGGACAAGTGGGTACTTTTGGAAGAATGGACGACGAATCATAAACACTTCTTCACATTCACGTAACATGAACATTGACGGCGTTTCTGAATAGCTGCAAGGAAATGCCTATGCAGAGCCAATAGAAAAAGTAATTTCTAAAGTTCCTGATACAACTTAAAGAACTCTATTACATCTTTCAAGTGGAATCGGTTAATACAAAGAAAGGATATCCCCAAAGAGGTAAAAAATTACATTAAAATTTTAAATTAAAAAAAAAAGAAAAACCTTGTCGATCATCCTAAAACCGAGAACTTTCAGGTTGGTCATTTTTCCCCACGAACGACCTTGTACTCTCTGGGGGAAAGCGGTGGGATTTCTAAAGATCACGATTTTTAACAGCCTGGTTTCATAAACAGGTTCCTTCGAAGCATCAGTAATACCAGCGACAGTGAGCTATTTCCCCGAAAGGAAGAGAAGGCTCGGTGGTGATGAGCACGGATAAAAACCCGCAGAGGACAGTCAAAGGCGACGAAGAGCGGCACACAGCTGTCTCTCTCCGGGCCCCGGGTGCTGACCGCACGCTCGCAGCGCAGGAGCGGGCGGCGCCCTCCCCGCCCTCCCGCGCGCTGGGCCACGGGGACCTACCAGCGAGAGCACTTTATAGGTGTTGGGGTCCTTGGCCGGCCGGGCGCGCGCCGCCTTCTCCAGCGGCTCCTCCCCCAGGTCCATGGGGGCCAGCAGCGACGCGGCCGCCTGCGGCTCCCCGGACGCTTCGGCAGCCCCTCGCCGCCAGACCCTTGGCTGGGCGCCCGCCGCCCGGCGCTGCGAGTGAGGGGAAAGCAACTCAACGCCCCGGATTATTTGGCTTCCTGTCTGATTTCGGGCACTCAGCGTGTCGGTTATTTTGGGTCCTCCACGTGGGCGTGTCTTTAACCTCCCCCTCCAAGCCTTGCCTACCTCGCGCCTCGGGCACCGTCCGGACACTTGCGTGGCCTCGCGGCGCGGGCTGGTCTGGAACTGCAGCGTGTGGTCTGCAGAGGGCATGAGATCATGGGGCCCCAAAATAGAGCGGGTGGACGGGGAGGATGCGGCCCGCCTGTGCGGCTTCTCAAAGGCGGGAGAGTGGAGTCGGGACGGACCTCTCCGTTTCGGGATGGACAAGCAGAGAGGCGATAGGGCACAGCGCGGGGGTGGGAAGCGACCCTTCTTTTTCTCCTACGTAGAAACAGACAAGAATTCCCTGAATACTTCACGCTGCTCGGGACTATCCAACCCTAAAACACCTGATTTTACAAATGCAACAACATATATGAGGTTTAATTTTCTGCGATTTTCGGTGTTGGGGGTGGGGCTGCTGCTCTTGTGAAATATTTATTAGTGACGTTCTACATCGAAAGCTTCGAAGTGTCGGCGCTGCGCTATCCTGAGGTTGCTGCTGCTACCAAAAAATTTAACACCTGAAATACTTTGATACTTTGTTTCAAACTAGGACACGAGCTGTAGGCTGTAATTCTTGGTGGATTTTTATTCACCTTGATTCTACAGCTTTTATACTTCCTTGCTCATCAGTTAGGAAAACCACACGTGTGCAGTCACGAGTGACTTTCAATACCGGAGCTGACGTTAGTGAACAAGGAAAGTTATACAATCCAATATCAATTAATTTTTCAATTCATTTTGATTTCAGGAATATATACAAATATATTTTTTAATAAGAATGGATGCCTACGATATAAAGTGTTTGTTGTCCCCTTTAAAATAATTATCTTGGGACGCTTTCCATTTAGGTCCTTTGATTCATTCACTCATTCAATAATGAATCCTTCAGTTCAGTCTCTTGGCTTTCAACAGTGCTGATGGCCTCCAACAAGATCAAAGATGAACAAAAGTATATCTTTCCCAAGTGGCTCCCAGTCTGATCAAAGATGAGAGAGGGCAGTAAACAAAAAACTAAAGCCCTAATCATAGATGCATAGTAGAAACACACACAGGATATTATGACAGCTCAGTGGAAAGGGTAATGGACATCTGGAAGAAGTAAAGGCCTCAGAGCATGATTGAGCCCTTTTTTCCCCTTAATTACCTTTGAGTCAGCTTACAAACCAAACCACCCAAGAGAAACAGGTTTCACTATTACATGGTCACACACATTTTTCACCCCAAACTTGGCTCTAAATTTTCCTTTGAGTGTTCCCAAAAGTCAGATTCAAGGACAAAGATTTACGCCATGGAGACTGGTCAAATGAGTGTCAGATCTTCTAAAAGCACCACAACAGAAACATTCCTAATGGCTTTGAACTCGGGACAGCAAATGAAGTAGGTGTATTGTCTGCATCCCAAGTCAACAAATCATTTTAAAGACTCGGCCCATTGGTGGAGGGGACTGCATGGTCATGGACTCAAACATCCAGGACCAGCAGAAACATAAAAGAGTGAGGCAGAGAGTGAATGTGAGTTTGTGCCCTGTCAAAGGTGGTGGCATTTACTCAGCAGGCTGGTGTGCCCACTGTGGCCAGATAGTCAGATTTTTCAGGAGAAACAGGAAATTTAGATGTTTATGTGAATTCTCCAGATTGCAAAATTTTGTCTATGAAATTCAGAAAAACAATTTCTTTAAACCACTTTCAAGGCCAAACAAAATGTAACACATCTGCAGGGTGGGCCTGGCACACAGGCCACCAGGATGTGGCCTTTGCCTTATGCTCAGGCCTTGCCTCATGCTAACTGGGACTTTTATGGGTAACTATAAAAAATCCAATTGAAGCTCTAAAATCAGAATAAAACTGGATTGAGCAGGCCACTCGTGTTGTTTAGCCACAAACTGAGCAATAGGCAAGTCTAGCCTCCATCTTGTTTATATTCAACATGATCTGAGGGATAGCCTCACACACCAAAATGTAATAAGGTCAAGAGACATAAAACTGCAACAGAATGTCTCCAGTTAGTGTAAAAGTGAACAAGTGATATGTCATCCTTAGTCCTAAACCGTTCTGCCTCGAATGAAGACTGTAATCTAGGATGGCAGTAAGGATGAGAGGGTAAGATCTGATGATTCCTTGGGTTGTATTGTACAAAAATATGTGAACACTCCCCTGGGTGCCTGGAACTCTGGGATGTGAGTAAGACCAGAACACCAAGCGCAACCAACTTGCTGTGTTTGGAACTAAGGCTTCTCGAAGTTGAGAAACAACTTTTCTCAGTTTTTTAAAAATGAAATATACAATAGAGTAATTATTTTAGCAGCTGCTCCAAAGCTTCTCCAGCTGAAATCCCTCCAGTTCCCCAGTGAAACACGGAAGACATCTAGGCCAGTCGAAAATGAAAAAAAAAAACCACAAGTCTCTTTCATCTTTATGAGATGTAGAAAAAAATTTTTTCCATGACATTAATTCATTTTTAAAGCTTTGTATGACATCCTGGTTTCTCTTCCTTTTTTTGTAAACGTGAAAATATTCCCCCTGGAAGAAGCTTGGATGACAACATGACCTTGTACAGAGTATAAGAACTCTCTGTGCCTTGGTTTCCTCATTTATAAACTGGAGCTACAAATAATACATAAAATTAGACTATCTCTAAATGTCAATAAAATTTTTTACATTTCTCTAACTTTACACAAAAATTTAAATGGATCCTTTCCATATGTAAATCACCCAATCCCTACCCCTGTAAGAGAATTAAATGCTTTAATTTTTATATAAATTATGCATGGTTAAAATATTAAAATACGACTTAAGTACAAATGATTTAAATATAATCTAAGCATAATTTCTGGGGAGATTTGAGAGCCTCCACTGGATATTTGGATTTGCATCTATGAAGGGAGAACCCAGGGTATCAGGAAGAGATACTGACTCCTCTGGGATGGAGGAAAAACACCTCGTCAGTCAGGTAACAAAATCTGAAAGTGAATGCAATTAAGTCGTAGAAGCTGTGGGAAAATGGCCAGTGCAGACCCCACCTAAAGGGAACGGCAGTACCGTCTTCACTTTCTGGTTGTCTGCTACCCCTGTCCCCCACCCCACTGTCTCTTTCGTACCTCATTTTGAACAAAACCTGGGGTTGCCAAATCATCTGAATTCACGCCTGCCGCTCTGCTACTTGTTTTCTCTATGCCCCGTATCGTTTTTTGTCTGTTTCTTCTTCACTTCTTTAAACTTCTGTTTTAAATGTGCTTTATTATATCATGGTAATTCTTCTGTTGAACTCTGGCTTTTCTAAAGTTATTTTCTTGGTAGTTGTTCTAGGGGGGCTTCCCAGGTGGCTCAGTGGGTTAAAAATCTGCCTGCAATGCAGGAGACGCAGGTTCGATCCCTGGGTGGGGAAGATCCCCTGGAGGAGGGCATGGCAACCCACTCCAGTCTTCTTGCCTGGGGAAGCCCGTGGACAGAGGGGCCTGGGGGCCTACAGTCCATGGGGTCGCACAGAGTCGGACACGACTGCTGAAGCGGCTGAGCAGGCAGGCATGCGCAGTTGCTCCAGTGGTTACAATAGAGCGCTGCTTCAGAGTGTGGTTGGTAAATGCCTGACCCGTCTTCTTGCTCCAACAAGGCTCAGGAACCCTTCAGAGTTGATTAAATTCTACCCCAGCTCATGGGAGGGCTGCAACCACTTCTGAGTACAGCCACATCTTCCATCCAAACGTGGTCTAAACAGTTGGCCCTCTGAGTTAGGGTCCTCTTATCTCTGACTAGGGCTTCCCAGGTGGTTCAGTGGTAACGAATCCACCTGCCAACACAGAGGACACGGGTTCAATCCCTGGGTCAGGAAGATCCCCTAGAAAAGAAAATGGCAACCCACTGGAGTATTCTTGCCTGAAAAATCTCATAAACAGAGGAGCCTGGTGGACTAAAGTCCATGGGGTTGCAAAGAGTCAGATACAGCTGAACGCCTGATCACAAGTGACTAGTAAGTAATCTTTGACTATAACGCCCGCTGGGTAACTCTACTGGCTCTCCGCTGAGGTAACTTCAGCGTCCCCAAAAGGCATGTGGGAAGTTCAGTATTGCTCCTTTCCCACAGGAGAGCCAGTGACGGCTCAGTGCTACCTCAGATTCTGACTGGCCACAATGTGTAACTGGTTTTCATTTGGAAGAAGCCCTTTCCGTGTGGATGAAGGGAACATTCTGCCAGCAGACGCCCAGTCAGAAAGTAGGATGGAAGCATTTCTGCTTCAGGCATTCTACTCAGCCTACCTAATGCTTACCTTCCCACCCAGGATTTCAGCTCACAAAAAGTCAAAATGTCATGAAGGTGTTTCCCTGCCCACTTCAGTCTCCTCCTTCTGTTTCCACACTTCACAGAATCTGAGTCAACTTTCTCTCATTGCAGTGTGGCAGGGACTTCTTATGCATCATCTCCTGAGTTCTATATTCCCCTGGTTTACAGTACACTGAACTTTCAATTCTTTCAGGCCTCATTCTTAATTTGTTTGTGGGAGCTTAAGAAATTTAGAAATTGTTTTCTTTCTTCAGAGTATCTGTCTTTAAAATAGGTTTTACAATATATATCTTTGAAGTAGGTATTATAACTATATTTTTGCAGTTGAAAACTGATAAAAAATCCTTTATATTTGTATATTACTTGTATAAAATATGTATATATTTGTATATTAGGCATAATAAAGCCAAGGCTGCATGCCGTATCTTCCTCTGCCATCTCTGAGGCAGATGGAGAATCTTAGTGGCCAGGTATTCAATCCTTCACAGAGGAAAAATAAATCATTTAATTCATCATTCTTTTCAAAGTTATTATCCATTTTAACCCCTACAAGTCATGTAATCACATATAACATGTATATAGGAAAGATCCTGACTTTTTTTTTTTGATTCATTAATATAGGGCATCTCATTTTTTCTGTTGATGTGGTCAGCAAAGCTGCTTATTTAAGTGTGATCGTGGAAAACAGAGGACCAAGTCTGAGACAAATACACGGCCTTCCTTCTCTTTCATCTGAGAGAACATTTGCTACAAAGATATTACCATTGCAGGATAGGCTAAAATCTGGGAGACAGGAGGAATGTTGTACTGTGGGCCCGAAAGAATAAGAATGTCCTCATCCTCACTGTGCTGGTGACATCAACCAATTTGTCAGATGCTTAGGTCTAGCCCGATGTAGGAAAGATCTGTTAACTCTCATAGTATGGAGAATAGTGAGAGGGAAAAGCTTTTCCTCTTTACACCTTAAGATACCTGAAACCAAAATATTGGAAAGACTG